CCAACAGAGCAAGTTACATTCAACCGGTTAGCTCAGAAACTGAAAGCACATTACTAAACCAAGAGAATCTGAGTGTCTATATATTCTTCATGTCTACATAATCTGTGATATGATGAAATGAGTGATGAGTGTCTGTATATTCTTGATGTCTTTCTCGAAAATATTAAGTACTTGGATCAGAAATTCATGTTGTAACAATCAATTTATTGCTTTATTAAATATAATGGTGGACAAATATAGTATTCCAATAAAATTAGCCTTTAGAGAGAATGTCACATTGAAAAACCTGTAAACAAATAGAATAATCATCCCGCTAGATTTGATCTATTCTGAAACGAACAAAAGTGATAATGAAATACTCCAAAAGAAGAAATTGAAGTAAACCCTAGATAGATTTCAAACTGAAAAAATAACTCCAGATAGTTTCTTAGACACTATATTGCAAAGATTAAACCATATTACCATCTCACATAGAGATAATTACTTTAACCACCCATAATAGGAAATAAGGAATAAGGAAAAACCTGGATGATTTGAAGACCAAGAGATGGAGCACGATTTAGATGTTCAATGTCAAAGCTTAGAAGGGGTCGTTCAATTCATGGAGAGATGGTCGCTAGAAGATTCTTGGAGAGAGGGTCGCTCGATTTGGAGGAGATTGGTCGCTCGATTTCCTTGGAGGAGATTGGGTTAGAAGACTTCACTATTAGCTTAAACTTTCATATCCTTATTATTTAGTGGGCCGGTCCAGCTTATTACTCGTATGATAAGTTAGGCCATCAGGGATATATACGCTATGTAATACGTACTATGGTTCCTATATAATAACTTCGGTTCCTACATGTTGGTAATGGTGAGAACCAGAACTAAACCGTATTGATATGTTAGGAACCGAACCCAAAATTATTACAAGACAAAAAAATTAGGAACCAAACCGAACCAGTAATATCAGTTCGGTTCGGCTCAGTTTTCTCGGTTTTCCGGTTCTAAGTCTCAGGCCTACTTAAGATCCGTGTACTTTGCATGGAGTCCTTAGTGTTTAGTGTTTACTAATGTGCTATTATGACTTATGAGGTAGTGACAAGGCAGTCAAAGTCGCGAGGCGCACTTAAGGCGCTAGAGTACTTCTATCGCTTGAGGCGCAAGGCGCAAAAAAGCGAGCGCTCGCCTGACTCGGGTGAAGCGCACTATTTAGAAAATATTATGTATACTATTCTAGAGTGATCCAATATGACATATTCAACACCTTATTGAACTAAATGCATCAAAAAGTCATGTTTCTAAAAAATAAAGTCATGATTCACCAAAATAATGTCATGATTCACAAAAACAAAACACTGATTGGGGTCTGTCTTTGTTGATTTTGCAATATTAGCACTAGGAATAGCATCGATCATATAGTGTATGAAACTATTGACTGAGTTAGATTATATGAAGTTTTTATACAGTTAAAATATGAAATGATACTATGAAGATAGAGTTATAGACTGGTATAATAAGATGAAATAATATGTTGTTCACATGTAAACTGGTAGGTCAGGTACATATATTATGTTTGAGTTGTATAACATATATTAGAAGCAAAAAAGAACAATAAAGTAAGAAAGAAGATAGACTGAAAGAACAAAATGAAAGGATCACAAAGAAGATGACAAGATAAATGAAAACTACAAGCTGAAAAAGAAGAAAGAACGTGGGAAGATGAAGAAGAAGACGACACCTTATGGCTTCGTTGAATGTGTTTTAGAGCTGTGCATGTTGCGCAAGACTTTTCCCACGACTAAGTATGGTTTAAGTTGTGTTTACCTGTTATTTGGACGTGCTAAATCTTATTATTAGTATGGACTTATTATTTAAAATAGGATCAAACAAAAAAAAAATAGGCTGATAAACCTTTCCCAGCCCATGCGACTAAAGCGTGCGCTTTTCTCGTTTCGGCGCTTCTGCGCTTTATGCGCCTAAGCTGCGCCTGAGACAGGAGGGTGCGCCTGGTCATCTTTCAAGCGCTAGACCTCTATTGCGCTGCGCCTGGTGCGCTTAAGCGCTGAAGCGCTCGACTTTGACAACCTTGGGTAGTGAAGCTTTCAGTTTCTACAAACAAACATTTCCTTTAGCACACTAAAAGATTTTAAAGTCTATAAAGTTGATTCATAGAAAATTATCCAATTGGGAAGATACATCTTACAACAATTTGGATAAACAAACGGGAAGCTTGTAAAGGAACAACTTTCCTAACTCACAAGTAATAATGCTCTTCTTAATCAGCTAGTTTTTTTAACAACAATATGAGTTAGTTTGGTAGTTATAATGTATTTGGCCTGTGTTGTGATATTTTGTTGCTGTTGAAGAAATGCAATTCTTCTATCTGTCTTGACATTATTAAACCAAGATTTGAACATGATGCTAGTTCTTGTGGGTAACTTGATCATCCATATTTGTCTCAAATGTTTCATGATTACCAAAAGAGTACTAAAGACTATTTTCTTAGAGGAAACAAGCAGCTAACCATGCATTCCAGTCCAGCTTGCTGTGAGGTTACCGTGCCTAGTAGGAGGTCTCGAGTTCGAAACCCGCTAGGCACATAAGGGTTTGAAACTCAATGGGAGTGAGTTTCAGCCGTGATTACTCCAGGCTCACCCAGCCCCCCTCTCCCAGACTCCCGGAGAAAGAAAGAAAAAGAGGAAACAAGCAGCTAAGAAAACGTCCAGGCCTAGAAAGACCTTTTTTCTACAAAAAAAGTTGTGTTTTCACGTATTCCAAGTTCCAAGAGAATGACTCGTTATGACAATACGGTATTAAGAGTTAGATATTCACGAGGCCAACACGATACGAGCAGTAGAAATACTGCATACTTCGTATAACATATTACTTTAGTTACATTATAATTGATTGATTTAAGTGTTCTTGTTGAGTTTGTTAGGAATTAAACTCACGCACACGATGAATAATAAGAACACACGAAAATTTGGTAACCCAGTTCGCCACGAATGACTACGTCTGGGGGCGCTACAAAAACCAGGAATATTATTGCTATTTTCGAATCCACACACCATGATTACAAGGGAGAAAGCTTGTATTTATAGAGAAGTAAATCCTAACCCCAAGGCAACTAGGATGCGTTTCCTAAAATAAATTAAGAAACTGTCTCTAACACCTTACAGAGTCATATTGTAACACCCCGGCCCCGCAGGCCCCGAGGTAGTTACTCCAGACCTCTAGTACTGTCCTCACAAACCACCACTAGCCTTTTCCGCGCACTTTGTGCTCACTCGTGAGTGCCCTGAGAAACTTCCCAGGGGGTCACCCATCCCTAGACTACTCCCGTGCAAGCACGCCTAACTTTAGAGTTCTTAGCGGATGAGCTCCCTTAAAAGGAGATGCATCTTGTTGGTATGAGTAGTACTATTAATCCTCTTATATTAAACTCGGATATTACACATATATGACACCTATTCACCATAACCATTATTATATAAAGAGATGAACTCATAATCTCACATACAACTATATTGTGCTTAAGTATACCACCAACAAATTTTATATTCCTAAAAGGGCATTAACCCTCATTCATGTTTATTAGTTTTCAAAAACATGTAAAGTCAATGTATTTTTTTTCAGATTTTGAACGACCTGAAACGGATGTCCTAGTTTTCCTACTGTGATGATGAACCTTCATTTCTACCTCGTACATAACAATATCTTTTATGTTTTATTTATTAAATGAAAATTGAAATCTTCTTTTTATTCTATTAAGTTTGAGCTTTGATGTTTGAAGCAAGGACGGATCTGACCTCAGGTCAGGGAGGGCCCAGACCCACCCTTAAAAAAATTAGTGTGTGTGTATTATACTCCATATATAATACGTGAGTAATATATAGAGCCTGTTTGGTAGCACGAAAAATCGACTGATTTGAATGATTCTGTTGAAATTTATGAAGTTCTGGCTGAAGTGGCTGCATTGGCTGATTCTGCTGATTTAAGAAAAAAATATTTTTAAAATATATTTTATTAATAAAATAAAGAAAAAATTATATGAAAATAGTTAAAATGATCATATTCAGTAACTCCGGCCAGAAAAGTAACGTCACCTTTACTTTTTTTGCTTATTACACAATTCAACGCGTGAAAATAAAAGTTATGTGTTTGGTGAAAAAAGTTAGTTGATAAGCCTATAAACCGAAAAAAAGTGTTACCAAACCGGTCCAAACGGCCTCATAGTATTTTAAGTTGAATTGGTATAAATATCAACGAGGGTCAAAATCTTTTATTATACAAAAGCAAAATGAATTCTGAACAGTGTTCCCGCCCAAACACAAGTCACATTCAGGTCGGGTCGGGCTATCCATGGGTACAGAAACGGGTATGCAGGCAGCCCATTGCAATTATTCAATTCTGGCTCATTTTCCGATGCTCCAGTTGTGTGGTTTAAGGAGGCTGCTTTGATGAATAAAATATAAGCTTATTTGTACTTTTCTGCCTAGAGCCACAAAAACATTTAATGAGTTGTACTATGATAAAACTGATTTTCGTACCTCCTCCACTTCAAAATTAAGCTTTTCGACCTCTCCTCCACTTCAAAATTAAGCTTTTCGGCCTTAGGGGTGTTTAAAAAATAGAAAGCAAACTGTACTTCAAATCTTAGTTGGCCAGAGAGAAATCCACATGCATTAAATGTTTCGTACTATCTTTGCAAATACAATCCACATGCAATCCTTGAGCCACACAAACATTTAATGCATAGTACCATGTTTGCAAAACTACATTAAATATTTGTACTACAAAATCTTAAAGTAAAGATTGAGTGAAATTTAACCATCGGTTAATACCCAGTTGCTCCATATAAGAAGGAATAAGAGTCATTGCTGATTGCAGTATAAATACAATTGAATTCTAAAGGCATCACACACCAAGCTATTGCATTGGGATAGAGGGTTGAAAGGGCCATAAAGAGCTACCTTTGGATTCTGAAGCTAGGGAAAACTAAAAAAACTCCATTAGAGGTATATCATGTCCATGTTACAAGTCTTTTAAAAGAAGCAGATATTCTATGTCCATGTTTTCATCTAAGGGTTGAGTGAGGCTAACATTCACTAAAAATGACTAATGAAGTATATATGCTTGCAATGAGTAATGACTTGCAACCAACATATTGGTAAGACATAATCTATATAATTAGTTCTTAACATTTATATGCTTTTGTATGTTTTCTAGCAGTTTGATAAACACAAACATTATTGACAGGATTGTGGGAATGCATGTTTCTCAAACACATAGAATTAATAATGGTACGACAAAAGGTAAATCTTACATGTAAAATTAAGACTGTTTTAGTAATTGGTTTTATTACTTTATATACCATTGGGTTGCTATCTAATGCATTTTGAGTTTCACAGATCAAGTACCATACTAGAAGGGCCAGACACTAAAACTTAAAAAATCAGGGAAGATAGGGCATGTTTAGAACATTTGGTTTATGTCCAGTCAATCCCTTTCCCCCATCTTATGAACAATCAACAATTTATTTTAGAAGCAATCTTCTTTTAATGATAATGACTTTAAATGCAAAAAGCAAGAGTCAAAATTTGGGGGATGAAGATCATACCTGAGAATTTGACTATGCAATAATGAAACCCTGCAATCCCTTATCTTAACTATTTAATAATTACATTTTGGTTATGAATAATACATATTTGGGCACCCTCTTCAGGTCCAAGATCCTACGAATGTACATTTTATAAAGCATACTATAATAATCACAAAAGTGTAATCAAGTTTTGGGCTTAGACCTGCAATACAAAAAATAATTTCATGTTAACGTGTATCTCATGGGTGCAGAAACGGGTCTGCAGGCAGCCCATTGCAATTATTCAAATCTGGCTCATTTTCAGATGCTCCAGTTGTATCTCACCTCATGACAGACACATAATACATGTTAAAATGATAATAATACATGTTAAAATGGATCAAATGCAACCAATCTATCTTTCAGTGCCTTAATGAATGAAGATAACTTAAAAAGTAAGTCAGAAAATAAAGTAAATAAAGTCCAAACAAAAATCGGAGTTTTAAGTAAAACCATGACTTTTGTACTGAATACTCTAATAAGATCAAATCAATTTTCAAGAAAAAATTACTTTTGATATAAAACATATCCGGAGTGTATTATTTGCGCTCCATTGTTATTTGGCCTTAAATATAAAGACCTTGGTTAAGATCTCTTGCATATAACCAAGGATATAAGCAGGTGTTAATATATTATGAAAAACAATGATATAATAGGTACTATTAATTTGAAACCATATTTAAATTTGGCTTCATATAGAAACAGTGTATATATATTTAACTTTAATTATTTATTTATACATATTGTGTTTAAAATTGGCCGTGAAATATTTCAATATTTATATGAATAGTATTTTCATATTTAAATAAATATAATTTATATTAAAATGATTTCTTATAGTTAATACAAGAAGATATGTCTATTATTGGGACTTGAGAACACATCGAATTACTCCGTACATCATTTTGTAATAAAAACGTGTAAAGATAGTCATATTATATTTGTGAAAGTATTAGATCAATCATTACCAGAGTTTACAAACTATTCTTTGTTGAAGTATTGACCACATTTGCCATAGTTCAATAAAGGAACCATGCATAAATAAGCATATCAGAAAATCATTTAGGATCTCAAAACAAAATGCTACGTATCTAAAAGCATAAATTTACTGAAAGTCCTAATCTGAGGACTTTCATCTCCAAGTAAAGAACATTGGCTTAGAAGGGCTTTGGGTTTTTCTGCCAAGCGGGCTACGAGATGGCTGGCAGGACAATCTCAAGGTTAAGGTTCATAATAGCTAGCTAACACACTAGGCTTAAAATTAGTATAGTTTATACATTTGGGGCTATAATAGCCATTAAGTAGGACGTACACATATAGTTCTATATTGTAGCAGTGTTAGGAATTACCAAAACCGAGAGATTTCATATAAAATGAAAAACCATTTTTGAAAAAACAAGGACATATATAGTTTAAATTCAAAAAATATAGACCAAATACAGCTCGAAGTATACCCATCATATGTCGGTAAGGTCGAAACACGCTCAGATACTCTGGCCATTTACAACTCGCAAACCTGCTCCCCTTCGAAGGATCTGATTCATCCACCAAGAAGCTGTGACTCAGATTCTTTCACATTTAAATGCTAAAAAGCACAGGATTAACAAAAAGTCTTTTTTACACATAAAGATCAGTGAACCAAATTGGGATGAGAGCATCGGTGTCACCGTTAGTACGGATGAATGGCGGCGAAGGGGCTTGACGGCCTTATCTATGAGGAGTATTAGGGTTTTGTATATATGGTGAGGGTATATGGTGTACATTAAATTTGGGGTATTGGGTTTTGGGTTGTTATATAACACGGAGTCACGAAGTAATAAATTATTAATGTTTATGTTGGGCTGGGGTTTTAGAATTGCAAAGGGCGGAGGGTTTTGTCTATTGCATATTGGGCTGAAATAAAAATGTCTATGTGTTGTACAAGGATTAAAATGGTCCTAATTCTTTTTGAAAAAATTATCAACTAACATCCTTTTTGTAAATCCTTGGTATATTAAATTAGTAAAAATTTTGCAATGATAATAACGAATTACATTTCGTATGTATAATATAGTAAAATAATGTCATTAATTATAAACCTGCTTATTTATAATTACGCACATTTTTGGACATAAAATGTGCGCATTTGAATTTTCCATTACTTTAATTATAAATGTGCGTTTTTGTCACTATGTGAACGATAAAGTGCACCATTTTGGATTGTTCTCATTTATCACGTTAAAGAGTGTTCCCACCGAAACAACACTATATATATAATTTGGATCAATTTAGCTATTAATATTTTCTAATAAAAGATATTATAAAATATAAATTTTCAAAATTCATTCAACCAATTTAGTCACTTGAATAAAAAAAATTAGTAGAATCATATTTTTTTGCTTATCATACTTATCAGTCAATGTTCATTTTCATCAAACATGTAACACTTGATTCCGCACATTGAGTTGTCAACACCCCGCAATAGGAAAATGTAAGATTTGAGTTACTTTTTCGGGTTGTATTGGCAGAAATTTTTGTGGAAGATCTTTTTAGCTTTTTTCATATAGTTTTTTCTTTATTTAATTTGTAAATATATTTTAAATATAATTTCTTTCATAAATCAACTTAATCAGTCATTCTAGCCACTTCAACCAGAACTTCATAAATTGTAATTGAATCAACCAATACAGTTTATTTGGGTATATTTATACATTTACACATTGCATCTAATGAAATTTACTGTTAACCTAATGAAGAATATGATATCATTATCATACGATATCACACACTCTTTTAAAACTATTTATTATATACCTATGTTTTCTTAACTGTTTTATACGTTATACGTTTATCGATATTTGGTGTTGTTATTCGTTGTTGATGTAGAAAATATTACGTTATTTTATTAAATTTTGCCCCGTGCATCGCACGGGTGAGAATCTAGTGTAAATAAAAGTCCTATTGACATGATGGAAGAAAAGTCGGCTAACCCGTGTGGCCGTGTAGGAGTTGATGTTTTAAAATTTTCAATTTTTCTTGTAATTAGGCTGTTGTCTCTTTTGTTTCATACTTACTCCTCATTTAATAAAAAGGGAAAAATAATTAAAACATCTCTAACTTTGAAGGAGTGTGAGATGAACACTCCAAACTTCCATATGTAATTTAAATAGGAAAAATTGAATATAATAATTCTTACTATTGTCGGTCCGCTATTAATAATCTCAACTATCGATTATTCCTGGGTGGTCCCAACTATAGGGGTTATTTTCCAAAAATAGTCTCTAACCTGCTACAACCTGGTATAGCAGGTCAAATTTAAATGCGAACTATGTGTAAGCTATAAATAATCTCAATTATAGTTGATCTTCTTTCATTAATCTCATCTATCAACTCTCAATTTTAGAAAAATATAAAACTATTTTTATAAATTGCCAAATTAAATTATTTTAAACATGTAAAAATAATTATGAAAATTCTACAAATGTACTGAAGTTAAATAAACATATTTTTAGTCAATTTTTATATATTTCACTAAAATTTCATTTTTTTTCTTTTTTCCAATTTATTTTTCCTAGTTGTGTTAACAAGTTATGATTTCATATTATTTTCCTTTATTCAATTTTACATTTTGTGTTTTCAAAAAGTAAGATGTGACTAAAATTCTTATGCTTGAAAGCTTTATTCTAGTTTTTTCATGAAAATATATTTTCTTTAATTTGTATGCTATCTTAACTCTAAAAATCTAAATCCTCTATTTTATCCATTTTTAGTATTTGTAATTTCTTTCTATTTTCTTTATTTTATACGGAGTATTATAATATTCTAGAAATTATATATATATATATATATATATATATATATATATATATATATATATATATATATATAGTATAGTTTATCATTCAATTTTTGTGATTTGGAGCAAATGTTTTGGATGTTTTGGCTATTTTGAATGAAAATGCATTGATATTTTAATTTTAATTGATATAATGGAAATTGTAAAAATTTAGAAAAAATGTATAACTTAAAATTAAAATATTAATACATTTTCATTAACATAGCCAAAATCTCCAAAACCTATGTCCCAAATCACTAGAATTCAATGGTAAACTATATCATATAATTTATAGAATATAATAACATAAAATAAAGTAACAGAAATAAATTAAAAATAGAGAATTTTGATTTTTATAATTAAGATAGCATAAAAATTAATAAAATAGATTTTCATGATAAAATCTAGAATAAAGATTTAAATCGTATTTTTTTTAATCACAATATACTTTTTGAAACCACAAATTGTAAATTTGAATAAAGGAAAATAATACAAAATCACAAATTGTTAACACAACTAGGAAAAATAAATTGGAAAAAAGAAAAAGAATTTAATTTTTGTCAAAATAAATAAAAAATGACTAAAAATATTTTTTATTTAACCTCAATACATTTTTAGAATTTTAATGATTATTTTTACATGTTTAAAAATATTTAATTTGGAAATTTATAAAAATATTTTTATATATTTCTAAAATTGAGAGTTGATAATTGGAATTAATAAAAGAAGATCAACTATAGTTGGGATTATTTATAGCTTACTCATAGTTCACATTTAAATTTGACCTGCTATAGCAGGTTGTAGCATGTTAGGGACTATTTTTGGAAAGTAACCTCTATAGTTGGGACCACCCAGAAATA